TCACTTTCCTTTCTCCACTGGATGAGGGTAAAAATAAGATGGGAAAGCTGGGTTAAGATAGGACAAGGGAGAGTACTCAGGCTAGCCACATAGAGTCGGGGAGAAGTAATGGCTTCTATTGCCAATGAAAAATTTAGTAGGGGTATAAGAAACGAAGGTGAAACTAAATCCCATTTCCCCTCCCTTCTTTTCAACTTCATACTTTCATTGCAGGCTCTTTTATCTCCACCTCCTCAGCTGTGTGGAAGGATGAGGAATGGGGATTGTGGTCAGTCCATAACATTGCAAAATGCTCCTTCTTGCTGAGCCTTTCTACAAGTGTGCAATACTTCTGGAACAGATTGACCCAGTGCAGAAAACCTGCTCGTGTGTGGGYTCCTAAACACAGGCTGCCACTCCTGCTAGGAGCTTGCTCTTGTGTGAGACTCCATGAGCTGTAGCTTCAATCAGGGCATCTCTACTGCTCCAACGTGGGGTTTATCCATGGGCTGCAGRTAGGCCTCTGCTCCACTGTGGTCATCCAGGGGCTGAAGGGTGCAGCCTGTCTCACCATGGTCTTCATCACCTGGAAGTGCCCAGGCTGTGGAGAAGGGCTGCCCCTGCCCAACTAGTCAGCACAGGCTTGCTGAGCCTGAGAGAGTCAGGAGTGATGACTGTCACTCTTGTGCCTGAGAGCAGGTTGGTCCCCACTTTGGGTTGAGAAGGTTGCAGAGAGCAYGAATGTCTGAAGGAGCYGGGGCACTGGGGGGCCTGGGGKCCACATGGTGGGAGCCATGGTTGTGACATAGCGTGGTCCATTTTGGCTGTTGGCTGCTAAGYGCTCTTTGGCATCTAGGAATGAATATGGTGACTCCCTTTGTTCTGCTTAGCCCTGACAGCCTCCCCACGTTCTCCTGGGAAGGGGAAGGGGCTCAGGGGAGTTGGRCTGTCCCTAGCGAGTGGCTCTCAAGGACTGTGGGTGCAAGTGTCTTTGACTGGAAGCCTTGGTCCATTCCTAGAGCAGGGGTGTCCTCGGCATCATTGGGACTTGTCCTACACCTGGAGTGCTGGGACAGAGGGTACAGGCTGTTGAGGAGAGGGCAGGGCAAGGTGGAGTGTCACACTGAATCAAATGGAGAGGTTTGATGGTGCAGCCATTACAGTTGGCAGTCATGTGGCTGGGACCTCCAGGTGAGGATGAAGGGATGGAAAACAAAGCAGATGTGGTAGCTGTCTTCTATCAGTTGCCAAGCCAGGGTGCCACTGTTGAGGAGTTAATTTGACAGGCAATTAAATAAATCTCTGGATCAGCAGCTTTGTCCTTATGGCAGATTTCAACTTGAGAAGTAGAGACCAGCTGGAAATTCCATCCTGCTATGGTGAGCAGATTTGAAGAATTCCTGAATTTTGTGGGGGAGAACTTTTAATCACAAGTACTCAGAGACACAACTAGGAAAGATGCCCTGGAGTTATTGGTTGGGAATTGAAAAGACCTGGTGGGAGATGGCATGGCACTGGCCACAGTGATCATGAAGCTTCAAAATATCAGTGCAATGACAAAAAAAATTTGCAGAGTTGCTGCTCTCTATTTTGAGAGCAAACATTGCACCACTCAGGAGTCCCCTGGGAATCTGCTCTTGAGGGCTCAGGAGCTGCATGCTGCACAGGATCTGCTGCAGACAATGGAAAAAAAGCAAGCTGTCAAAAAGTATTTTCAATACTTCAAAGAGACATTTACACTGTGGGAAACCTCATCTGGTGGTTTTTCATGACATGTGTTACTAGGAAATAGTCATTAAAATGAGAAAGGTATCTAGGGYGATGATCACAATGGAAGAAAAGGAGTGTGCCCCAGGCAGCCATTGTTTTCCAGTGCTGCTTTGTATAAACCAGCTCATCACTCCTGCTGCACCTACCTGCAAAGTGTGAGTAAGCAACGGGACTTGGTGTCAGCTTCCACTAACAATTCTGCTTGTGGTGGAGTGTTGTGGTTTAACCGCAGCTGGCAACTAACTGCCATGCAGCTGTTCTCTCACGGTGTCCTACTCTGGTGTGATAAGGGAGGAGAACTTCCCCAAGGTCTTCCCAAAAAGAAAAGTGAAACTCGTTGGATGAGTTAATAACAGTTTCATAATTAAAATGAAGTAAAATATAATAGCAATAGAAATAGTAATAATAATAAAAAGAGAGAGAAACGCAAAGAAAACGGATCTGCAATGCAGTTGCTCRCCACTCACTGGCCAATGCCACACCCAGATAGACTGTCTTCTGGGTAACTCCTTCAGTTTATATTCTGGGCGTGATATTCTATTTTGTGGAATTATCTCTGACCAGTTCATGTCTCCTGGCCATGCTCCCCTCCACCTTTCTGTGCCCTTTATCACTGGTAGCACATGAGCCACTAAACAATCCTTGATTCAGAGTAAGTACTCTCAGCAACAAYGAAACCATCAGTGTGTTATYATTTTCCTTGTGCAGAATCTAAAACAAAGGACTGTACCTGCTACTAAAAAAAATCAGCTCTATCCCAGTCAAAACAGGACAAGGACTGAGCTGCATTCATTGGCTTAGGTTAGGAAATGAGAGGTATCAAACTTCTTGCAGAGTTCCCCTAATTTTGTAGGCTTAGACAAGACTTCTGTGGTGTTGGTTTTAGCAACCTATGTAAACATATCCAGGGCTATTTGCCTTTCCCTGGATATTCTGCCTGGTTTCCCGGTACCTTTTGAGAAGAATGTGTCTTATCTACCAGATATGGGATGTAAAGCTCTGGACTTGCTTGACATGTTACTTACAGGGGCCTACGTGTTTTTATACCCCGAAGTAGGCACATGGGAGAGATACAACATTGTCAGGARGTTAAAGAAACTTTTACAGGCAAACTTTAGAAAATAAGGGAACCTGGCAAATTTTAAAGCAAGCATTCAATTGAAATAAAGCATTTCWTGATATATTGACATAGCAAACTCTAACCAATATAGCTTTAAKTTACCCAAATTTCAAGAAGAGGAAGTAAGAAAAGAAGAGGGTGTGTGTGCAACTGCTTTTGTCTGCTTTGGCTTCCTGGGACCCTCCCCTCCATCTGGTAYACCAGGGGCTGGTAAGTATTCTGGAACTGGACTAGAGGCTCCAGGGAGGTGGGATGTGGAGAAGTKCCTCATCCCAGTTTTTGCAGAACTTGCCTTGCCACCCTGCCACACACACTTTGGTTGTTTTGAGAAATTGTTTTCTCGCACTGGGGTTACTTTAAATCTCAGGACAGACATGACAGCAGATAGACCCACCAGGGTTATCTTGCTTTACATGCATGGTGAGCCTGTTCATGTAGGACTGGGATGTTGTTTGAAGTTCATCCTGTCAGCAATACATAATAACTTGTGGGGTTATTATGGTGCTCCTCCTTTAGCAGTCACCTGCTCTGCTTCAAAGTAGTTTCTAAGGTTCATAACATTGTAGTGCAAGTATGGGGGAGAAGTGTGTTTCTGTCTCCAAACTGGACCAGAATCCAAAAGGTGGATGCAGAAAATACTGCTGCTACTGTGTATATCTACCAAACATTTTATTGGTTGGTAGATGAATCATCAGTTGTGTCAGAGATGCTTGGTGCCTCAGTTTTAAGAGGTCTCAAGTGCCAGTTTCCAGCATGCTGGGACTGTCTGCAGTTCAACAGGTTTCATGTCCTTTGCCATGAAGTGACAGAAGACCTAGAAATGTCCCAAGCCTGGCTAGGCCGCCTGCTTACCTAGGTATCTTTTCAGTGGTCTCCAAAAGGGGAACTAAGTAACTGTAACAAGCCTTTTGTATTAGCAAGGACTGATGGAAAGTAGAGGGAAAGTCCGTTTTTGGGATGCTCTGGAATGCTGAGTCCTGAAGAATTTTTTTGCACAAGATGTGGAGTGAACCACTGCACATCTAAGTTAGTCTTTAGTCCTGGTGGATAACATGCAAACCAGCATGTGTGGCAGTAATACCATTTATCTTTTAAAACCTATAGCCCTTAGAAATGAGGCATCCAACCAGTGTGTTATGCACAGAACAAGTCACAACTAAATGACAAGCTGTTCTCCAAAGCATTGAGATGACCACCAAGTGCATAGGGGAAAAGACAGGCAGAGCCTGACCTTTTTAAGATCATTTGCCTGGTGAGTGTAGCTGGGAGGGTAACAGTTTAATCTTCAGCCATGAACCCGGTTTGATAGCTCTAATTACATGAACCAGGTTTGATAGCTCCTTCAAAACAATGGGCATTGTGCCCTGAAGTCATGGTAGTTTCTTGTCCATTAGCTGAAGAAGAGAAAATGAATGTACATGCATGCATATGTATGAATATGCGCACCTGTATGCATTATTATATTTATGGGGTGAGAGGAAGAGAGAGAAGCGGGGAGAGCAYGAGTAAACGGAGAGATTCCTATTGTACCCTGGGAGAGCAGAAAAACATAAGCAAATACTGTCCATCTCCTGCATGTATCCTATTTTTTTTTTTTTTTAATATGCGAAAAAGACATGAAAGAAGGAAAAAATACCAAAACAACAAACCACTGGATGGAGTGGTATCTTGTAAGATTTATGAACTTCTAAATTTAGAAAAGTCATTTCACTTTTGCTGGTGTATTGCAGGCTCTTGTGCGTGAGTCATTAAGAAAAAAAATACAAGTTACTTCCTCTGTGAGAGCATGTACAAGTAGCATAAAATAGGTTCAATTTATCTTTTCCACCACTGAATTTACTCTGGATAAACAAAGCGTGTATGAAATTTTATGTCCTAGAAAGGTAATCAGCCTTATAAAATGCTTCACAGTTCTCCTTTTCTCATTATTGTATTGCAAATAGTTTTCTGAATGGGAAAACGGTTCAAGCAAAATGTTAAACAGCATTCATTTGTCATTTTCCTGCACAAACCACGCAGAAGTCTGCTGGATCCCAAAATATGTAGTCATTATGAAGTTTGTATTGAACTGTTCATCTTTCATCTTTTTTTTCCTCCTTTTTTCAGATCGTGTTCCTTTGTGGTGGGTAATTTCCATAACTCCTGCTTCAATTGGCACAGGTAGAAAACTCTGCAGGAATCACAAAGATAATGAAATACAGAGGATCATCACGAAATAGTGACTGAGCTATGTTCAGGTAACCTGTACAGACAACCTCTGCCTCTTTACCTGTAACTATACATGTTTCTTCATGGGGACCAGCTGTTCCTAACCACATCGTCAGAAAATATCTGTAATTTTAGAGACATTAATGAGTGGAAATAGATTTTATCTTTATATTGTGGGGTTTTTTTTGCAAAAAACAAAAAGAAATATTTACATTTTTCATGGTAAGTGGATGCAGAATAACTCAGTAAGGTACTTTGATTTTTGAAATGAAGTATGTCATGGGTAACCATTGGATTAAATAGTCCATTCCAGGTTAAAAAAAAAAAAAAAGGAAAAATAAAGCTGTGAAAATAAAGAGTTCAGCCACAAAACAGAACCTTATGTTTAATGGCACAGTCTTTCATGTAGGCATCTCAATTTCAGAGTGTGAGAGATTCATTAGACTATCATCATTACACACTAGGTGCTGTTGCTGACTTTAAATTTAATGCAAGAATTTCAGCATTCTGAGGTATGGTTAAATACCACCAATATATTTTATTTTCATACCAAATTTTCTATTCTGCGTTTGAGGTTTGCTGTTTAGTGCCAGATTTACAGGGCTGTGTTTTATGATACTTCATGGTGGGCTAAACTAGTTTAGAGTGATTATCCTTGGGAGTATTAATAATCCTTGTTTTAACATGCCAGAATTGTCAGAAGTTAATTGCACTATGCTGTCTTTTTGCACAGGCTTATTGATTGCAACAGAGCAGTGGTGGAAGACAATGCTGGTGTGCAGTSAGAAAGCAGCCTTGTGCAGAAAGCCAGCTCCACAGTGGAGATTGCCAAAGAACAAATTGCTGTCACAGAATACCCCTACCGTGTCCCATAAACCAAACAGGTGAATAATGATCCCATCTCCCACACAACACTGAGCTCTCATGTTGTAATCGTATGCAGCATATCATCTGTGCTGTAATCACTGCTGCCAGAGACATAGTTTCTTATAAAATGCCTTGTCACCAGTTAGAGATTATCATTATCCAGATTACCTTTCAGCAATATTAATGTAATTTAGAAAATGAAGGTGAGCCTTTGTCCATGCAGAACTACTCTGTAACAGCAAATCAATTGTTCTGAATAATACGCTCAACCAGTGTCCTGCCATCATTGGTGTACTTTCTGGGTGTGCTTTCTTCTCGCCCCATGTCATCAGGCTGCTGGATTTCTAAACTCAAAGAACTCAATGTCTTGTCTGGAGTGAACTTGAGTCAGGTATGAGTGTATAGGAGAGTGGAGATGCAGTGTTGAAGAATATATTTGGTGCAGGTAGCACAGTATGCAATCTGCAGGTTGAGTGCTTGGGGACAGGAGCCCAAGCTCACCGACCCTTTCATAACAAAGGGCCTGGGGACCTGCAGCCCAGCCAGGGGACAGATCACTGAAACAGGACAGGAGCTGATGATCCCAGACTTTCCCACRCTTAGACTGTGAGGAGATAACAGCCCAGGAGTTCCTTTTTTCTGGGTCCCTCCTTGGAGGCACCAGCTCCAGCTGCTGATTTATGATTTAATTATTGCACTGAGAGGATCTGGTCTCCTGAGACTCTGCTATGGGAAACCTGGGGTCAMCCCAATAAGGAAAGCTGGAGTGACTGTGTGAGTGTGGGGGGTGGAGCTGGGAAAGGGCCTCGCTCACAGCTCAGGTGGTGCAGGAGTGACTGACAGAGGCTCCTTGATGGTCAGACAGGGACTTTTCCATGACAGTAGCAAAGAACTTTTCTTTCCTTAAGCACAGCATAGGACAGCAAGGTGAAGCACACTTTCCTAAAAATGGTGTTCTGGAGAGCCAAAGTTCTATCGGTTTAAATGGATTTAGGATGAATGATGGGTTCATGTTGAACTGGCAGCCTTGGTCTATTTGCCCTATGGAGTGTTCACCACATGAATATTGTGCTGTTCAATGTGATTCTGCATGGATACAGCCATGAAAACTTTTAGCTGAGTGAAAGTGATATACCTGGGCTTCTTTATTACAAATATTAACTTGTTACAGTTTGGGAGTTTAAGCCATCTCTCTGCTTCTCAGAGTTTGGGATAAAGAATAAAAAGCAGCAGCCAAGCTCCACTTCTTACAAGGAGATCATAGGTTCTTCTGCAAGTTCCACATATGTAGAATGCTTAAATGGTGACTTTAAAAACATAAAATGACAAATCATAGTCTAAGCTCTGAGGGTTCCCAAAAGCAGTTATCTAATCTTCATGAGAAAAATTTATGGTATCCTGGGCATCTGCAGCAGAAGAGCATCCCAAGCCAGAATTATGAAATGAAAATAGCAAATAACTGTTTTAGGTAGATCACCCTGCCTGGACTGTTTGTTTTTAATATCATTTTGCAGTTGATGCATTTGATTACACTTAGCCACAATGCTCCTGAAGGAACAGTGGAGATGTTGCATGGAACATTTTCCTTCCTGTTGCAGCATCATAAAGAAGCTCATAAATACAAAATTTCATAAATGATTAGCAACATCTATATAAAATGCTTAATAGTCATAGAGATGACATTTTTCTTCTGCTGTTTCTTCTCTGTTTATTAATCCTTTTCTTCTTTTAGCACCTGTTCCATTTTCCAGGGGATTGGGAGCAGATGATCTTCAAGGTCCTTTTCAAGAAAAGCCATTCTATGAATCTATATTTTACAGCAGTAAAATTGAAGATGCAGACTGAAGTTGAGAATAAGCAGAGTAATAGTAACCCAACTCATTATATTTTCTTTTTCATAATAGAATTCAAAGTGATACCTCTTAAGATTAAACTTTCCTGATATCTGGAGGCATTTGCTTTGCATAAGCTGTTTTTTGTAGGGAACTAAAAATCTAATTTTCAGTCTTTTTTCAGAAGACAACTTTATTTACAGTCCAAATTGCATCCTTGATTGATAGAATTTCTTGAAAAATATGCTATTTTCATACATCTATACTTACTGGAAATATTCTAGAGCTGAAAAAAATTACCATTTTTCAAAAGAAGAGAGACAAATTAGGATAGGGTAAGTAATTTTTCAGCCATCTGTCTTCTCAAAACACACTACCAGCATTCATGCCTTGAGTTGAACCTCACAGCATCATATCTTCTAAAGGGGGAAAATAAGAAAGCATGGACAAAATGGGTAGCAACATTTGGGAAGTGAGTGTTGTCTTATTCTGAATCTATATGTTACTATAAGTATAAATAATTTAGGTTTCCTCTGAAGACCTGCTAAAGTGCAAACTCCTTTGGCACTGCCTTGTTGCTTTTATGGCTCCAGGGTAAGTCTTGTGGAAAATGCAGCATATATAGCAGAATCAGACAACTTCATAATGTTAGCAGGACATTTGGACATCAGTATGACTTTTGAGCTGAATCTAATAATTTTTTTCTATGAACCATCTGCTTCTATGAATTTTCACTGACTGTAATTAAAGTTGGCATTTGCATGTAGAAAATTCTATCAGACTTACAGTGAAATAGACTTAAAGACTTTCTGATGAMGTCTGTAGGATTTACTAGTGATTTTTTTTTATTTCTACTGACTTTGTGAACTATCTTGAGGAATGGCATTTTTGTGATACAGAATTTGTGAATAGCTTAATACAAGGGAATAAAAATGTAAAGTATTCTAAAGGTTTTTTGGGTATTTCTTTTAGCATCAGAGACAGAATCTTCCTAAGACCTGAGTTAGAGTGGAGGCAATTCGAGATAAACCACTCTTGAATTGCAGCATCTTATGGAAATGTTAGGAAAATTTGTTTCTTCTTAACACATTTTGGAGATCTCAAAAAATTCCTTCTTTTTCTAATTTTCCTCATCTGGCCTCTTGTCCTCAGACTCCCTCCTTTCCTGTCATGTWATTGAGAGAGATTCAAGTGTTTAATGGCAGCTATTGATGTGACTTAGGAGAGGCTTGGAGCAAGGTGGAGGTACTGAGGGTGCTGCCAGCCTTCCTGGGGCATGGATTTAAGAGCCAGTGGTACCCTGTGCACCATTAGAAGTACTGGCACTTGTCTTTATGGAAGAGCACTYAGCAATTTAATGTGTTCTCTATAGAGTCTGGAAAGTACACTAGTCAGACATTATTTTCCCTTTGTCTGCCTGGGTTGGGCTTTTCCCTCCCTTTGGGGTCCAGGAAAAAGAAAAAAGAGCCTGCAGAAAACCCTAAATCCTTCTGTTGCATCTTTTCGTAGCATTCATGACTTCTTGCTGTTGTATTTAAGTTTTAATGCGCTTAGATTAGAAAGGTCATTTTCTTTAAACTGTGTGGAATTTCACAGTGTTTTTGGAAATAATTTATCTCTTTCTCAGTATCTTGTGTGATGCTTGCACAACAAAAGATAATAATGTCTCCTCTATCCTCACACTTCTGCTGGATGTACACAGATGTAATTGCTTGATTATTTTTTCTATGCAACTTTTATTGCCATGTCCCTTTCTTAAGTCTTGTCATGTTTCCTGGTTCCAGTACCACCTCTGCTGACCGATTGAGCCATCTTCATCTGATTAAATGATTGTCACAATGTATAAATGCAGTGCTTGCTGGACAATAACATTTTAAGAGGTATTGCACACTTTCAATTTTTAATAATTGCTGTTTGTACAAACTGTGCTTTTCTTGTAGGAAAATAAAAAACAGATGGGAGGGTTTTGCCTCCACTACAGTTTTGATCTCTTTGCTTCAGTCTCTGGATATTATTTGTGCAGTCAAGTATGTGGCTAGTAAATTCTGGCAAATTGGTTGTTTGGGATATTGTCGATGTCTTTCAAATACAGTCTGTATGCTTTTGACTGCACTGGTATGCACATTTCCAGGCCTTTTTAGAGGTCTTTTGAGTTTTGATTAAGTTCTTCTGCCCTGAAGCCTAAAGCACCTCTCATTTTGCCAGTGGGATACGTATCTATTCCTGAAACTGTTTCTTTTCCCCCAGCTRTCCAAGCTCCCAAGCACATGCTGTGACTCTTGGGGTGTCCTTCAAAGGTCCAGGAGTTGAACTCGATGATCCTTGTGTGTTCCTTCCAGCTCAGGGTATTTAATGATTCTATGCTCCAAACCCATCCCTCACAGCACAGGAAATGAGAAAGGTGATCTGATTTTTTTTTGTCTGCCTACAGGAGGAGAGCCTGGGGAACTGATATTTAACATTGACTCAGTGGCATCATCTTCAGCCCAGCCCCAACTCAAGCTACCAATCAATCTGTACTGAAACAGGAGGAAACCACATCCCAAATTTCCTGCATACAAGCAGTTAAGTTCATGTCTCCTCATCTTTCTGTGGATGATAAAGCTATGGCTTTGCCTCTTCCCCAGGATTGCAGCTCTGCTTACATAGCAGCTTTAAGGAAACTTTAATTGCTTTGGAAATGATGTTTCTAGTTCTGATCACTCTTAAAAATGTAAACAAGCAAGAGTATCATCTGTTGAAACAAAAGTCGGTCAGGCAGCCTTTGCTGCTCAGTTTTTGCTACCCAATCTGTTATGCCTGTCACAAGAAGTTGCCAGACTGTCACAATAAATGGCACGAGTTTAGGACGTTGTTTTGTTTAGCCTTCATATGAACTACTTTGAAACACATTTTAGTAGAGGAGTGTAATTAAAGTATATCGAATTCTGAAAGAGGGGAATAAGTTACACAATTGTTTAATTTGTTAGAATAGTATTTTCTATTATTTTCTGTTTACTTGGAGAGCCTTGTCGCAAGTAGTTGAGAATACTGAAGAAATAAATATTGATAAAGAACTTATTGCGTGAAAGCAAACAAGGTGGRTATTTCGCTTACTCAAATGACTTATTTGATAATTCCTACTCTTAAGCAAGTTCAGATAGTGCAGCATGCCAATTATTCACCCCATGAGGAAGGAAACCTGATGTATGTTTCAAGAAATGAAAATGTCTAGCCACAGGTATATTTTTTAYTAGGTATTCCTGTTCTGTTTGATTTGCCACAGAGATCTGACATTTTTCTTTCTATTTTTTGTGTCCTGGAGTAGTCACTGGGCAGGGATGTAATTTTAGTTTCTGTTCTCATTCCTCTTTGTGGGTTCTGATGTATCTGTAGCCCTTTAAAAGGTCTGTCACCATCCACCCAGCCCTCTGTGTCAACTGACTTCATTGCTATCCCTTGTGCATTTTGACTCACTTAGCATTGTCAAAACTGAATCCTTTTGAAACGCATTGTGCTCAAAACCACCTTCATCTCCCAAGCCATCACTGTCAGCAGTGTGGGCCATTTGTCATTCAGACTTTGTTCAGCCTTGATCCCTCCTCACCTTGAATCATAGCTACCCCTTRTTCCAGTCAAACTGTACACAGAGGACTTCCCACCCATGTCCTTGCATTTCTGTGTCTTGGCTTCTTGCACATGCACATTTTCTTTCTTTGCACAATTTGACTTCTTCATGAGTGTCATTTTCTCTTCCCACTGTATTCTCATCACCCCCTGCCCTGTCTGGGACTCCACTAGCATGTTATGGTGCCAGTTTCAGCACCCTCTCTCCTTTGATTCTTACTCAGTTTTCCATGTCAGTACGCAAAACCCCTGAGTGTATTGTTTTCATTGCATTTCACTGAAAAKTTGAATTTTCAAAGATGTGGGCAAGATTTCCAGCTCAGAAAGTGCCTAAAATACAGATTATCAGAATATCAGTAGATTCTGATAGGGCCAAAATGTTGTCCAAATGCCCACCCCTGCAGGCTGGACAAAGAAAGGACCTGCCAGTATTCTGCAACTGGTGTAACTGGAGAAGTGTTCCTGGAGTGCATGGTCACTTTCACTCTCCTGAAATGCTTGCCTTTCACACATGCCAGCCAGACTGCAATGCAGTGTGAGGATGGAAAGCTTTTACCTTTAGGACTTGCCATATTAAGGAAGTAACCAGAAATGATGAAATAACAGTATTTCATATGAAAAATGCTGTTGTTTGTATTGCACTTTTATGCATGATTATATTGCAGAACATCGTGAAAGCAAGCAAAAATTGTGGTGTTTTTCAAAATTAAAGATCATTAATAATTTTTTGTGTGAGAGAAAAGGACAGGAACTGGGTACACTATATAATGCAGTTACCTGTTCAAATCAATGCAATTAAAAAAAAATAAAAGTGAATTAATATTATCATTGTTCATGTGTACATACATAGAGATATATTTTCTAGCCAGATAATCATATCACAAAGATTTAGMATTCCCTTGGGTATTTTGTGTTTTAGCAAATAACAAACACAAGGACTGGACCAGGCAAGCTGTATACAYAGAGCACTGTTAAAATGCCCACTCATGCCAAAGTGATCACTGCTGTGGATGAACCTTGCAGAGGCTGATCATTTGGGTAAAGTCTGTGAAAATATCTCCTCACTGCACCAATTCAGCCTGCATGGGTTAGTGTACAAATCACCCTGTTCAGCACTGCTGTAAGCTTCAAAACTTTGCACAAAAGCTTCTAGGGACTTTCCTTGTCTTGTTAAACACAGGCCATCTCTCTGTACTGTACAAACAGCTGCAACATGACCTCTCAGTCATTTGGTTCAAGACTTTACAGGCCATATTGTGGTCAAGAGAGATGGTGCTCATTGCAGAGGTCTTGTCCTCCTCACAGGTAAGAGTCAAGGCCAGCAGAAAAGACATGTCATCCCTGCTCTTTTGGTGATGTGGAAATGAAGGGTGAAACTGAAGGATGAACTGAACCACGATGGTTAGCCAAAGTCACAGAGTATTGAGACACATCACRCTGGTTCCTTGGCCAGGGTCTCAACCATGAGAGGTTTCCTTATGGTTTGTCTCAAAGAGAAACTTGGAAATGAGGGGCAGCAGAAACACCGAGATTCAGTTTAGTAAAACTTAATGCACGTGGTAAAATTATTTTCRCTAGTAATAGGGTGGTCAGTTTCATAGAACAACAAGAGAAGAACATAGTTCGTGGATTAAGGAATCCAAGGAAAAAGGTGGAGAATGAAGCCTATTAATTTAAATAGTCATGTAAGYTGAATCTAACTAAATTCCTAGGAAATTATGAAGGCAAGGGTGTTGCGTCTTCAGTAGTGGTGGGTGTCTAAAAAAAATAATTGTCAWGTATTTGGTTGAAAAACATTTGAATCAATTGACTGAATGTTCAATAGGAAGGAAAAGAAGGACTCTTCAGGCCTGATGCTTAGATTTCTGAAATCAGTGGAAAGAGTGCTATATAGCAGCTATTTTGGTAGTGCCTGGGTTTCAACAGGGACAAGCAATGTGATCTGCAAGCTGACAAAGGCCATAGGATGCACTAGACCTCAGCAGGTGTGCTGTTTACCTCACATCAGTAGAGTAAAACCTTTTAACAAACTTTAAAATCTAACTAGTTCCCTTGTTATTAGTTACARGCTTTGGATACCCCTTAGGACTAGTTCTGACAGCTGAAGTCTTTATGCAATTCCCATGCTACTTGCCAGACAGGGTTGCAGAATTGATCCACAATCCAATTCACGTCATCTCTTTTACCCATCTGCTATTGATACTATCCTCACAATGCTATATATTAGATTTTCAAATACCTTAGATAAACAGCAAGGTTTCCCTTCCAAGGCAAGGCATTCTTTGTAGAAAGACACAGATGTTCACAGAACTCTGTGGCTCTGCATTGAGTTAAGCAGYGGTTAGAGCTCAGGAAAGCTTCTGTTGCTTCACATTTTTTAAATAGTTAGCTCCCATGAAGTCTCCTGTTTCTTTTTCCCTASTAGTTTTCTCACTTTTAAGTGGCCTTTCCCCTACCTCACATATTCTTTCTACAATGAGCACTACCCCATAGGTAGAGAAGACAAGACAAAATAGCAATCTAAACATTTAGATTAGCATTTTTTATATGAAATTAAATTTAATCTTAGAATATATATTTCCCTTCTGTGTTTCCATGCTGTGGGGATTTTTTTTCCCTTTTGTGCTTTTTCCTAATCTCAGTTCTTTTCATCTAAGGGTATTAATTTACAGAACGGCAGCATTTCTGTGACTGGCACCTCTGAGATCATCTAACAGATCCATCAAAGCAGGGTCTCTTGGAGCAGGTTGCCCAGGACCGTAACCAGTCAGGATTTGCATATCTTCAGGGATGAAGTCTCCAGAACCTCTCTGAGCAAGCTACTCAGCTGCTTGACCACCCCCACAGAAAAAGTCTGTGAGTTTTTTAATGTTTAAGTAGTATTTATTGTGATTCTAYGTATGCTCTTTGCTTTTTACCTGCTCTCTGGGTACCCTTGATAAGAATT